CAATTGGACATGTGGAGGAAAAAAGAGCCAGTGAAGAGGACTCAAGGCTCAGAGAGGAGGGCATAATGAAGGCCATGCTTCACCTGGTGCTTTTGAGAGAGCTGACAGGTACACATAACCAGAAGCTCAAGCCACCTTGCCAGCAAAAATCCCCTTTCCTGCTCAGAGTTCTGGAAATGAAGGGGCCTTACAGAGTGGCTGCCTCTGGTCCCTGACAACCCAGTACACTGGTCCCCATCCTGCCTTCCCCTCCCCCACTCACCTTTCCATCCCCAACCCCACCAACTTGAGCCCTGCTGTTCTTCACAGCAAAATTGAAGGAGACCCTGAGAAGGAAGCTCAATCCAGCTGTGCCCAGCATCTGCCAGACCTGAGTCCAGCATCTCTGAATCTTGGGGGGCTGGGGGTGAGTCAGAGAGATCCAACTAATGTGGGGGAAGTGTAGGGTGGACAAGAGGCTCACCCTGATCCTAGCTGGCAGCCCTTCCTCTCCCTCCCCCTCCGTAAAGGAAGGCAGAGGAAAAAAAAAATGTGTTTTTATAAATAGCTTCAGCCCCAGCTGATTTGTAAATTCAGTGGGTTTTTTGTGTCAATGACATCACCCTCCTCCCCATGGCAACCCCCGACGATATCAAAATTGCCAAGCAACGTTGAAGCAGCTCGTGCCCCAAAGGGTTGCAGGTTGCTGCCTGAGGATTTAATGGAGAAATCCCAAAGTGAGCTGGGGTGCACGGTGGAGGAGGGGCACGCTGCGACCCCTTGCTTCTGGGCCCTGAGCAAGGCGGGAGCTGCCTGCTGCTTGCCAGGCAGCCTGGACACGCCAGGGCTCCACAGCCAGCTCCTTTTGACAGCAGCTGCTGTCCACAGCAGGTGGGGGAGGGCACTGCTCCCCTCCTGACGTGCCAGGAGCCACAAGCAGCCATTCAGGTGACTAAGCCGGCCCACCGCCACTGAGTCACCCACCCGCCAGAGCTTTTCTTCCTTTCTTTTTGCATTTGATTATTTTGGGAGCTGAAAACTTGGAGCTGCACCTGAGTCCCGCCTCTTCTATCTCTCCCCTCCCTACCTTGGCTTGGAGGAAGATGGGTCTTACTGTGAATCTGCCACTACTCCCTAAGGATATAGAAGTCATGGTGGGGGCCAGGGGTGCCCGCCAAGAGATTGTAGCTGGCAGACAATAGCAATAGCAGACATGGTGATCAGGCTGCCAGTGTGTCCTCTGGAGGTGTCAAGAGAGGAAGGGGAGTCTTGTCCACACCGACTGCAGTTCTCTTGGGCTGGCTTTGAACTCACCTCATGAGATGTTTCTGTAAATGAGTGACTTCTAGGGTAACAATGGCATTCGGAGAGTGAAGCTGGATTGGCTTAAGCAGGCCTGTGCAGGTAGGTGGCTCTGTGCTGGGTGTGGGCCCATGTGTGTGAGAGAGAGTGAGTGCTGTGTGACTGAGTGTGTGTCATCTCCCTGTTGATGATAGAAGCTGTGTCCAGCAAAGAGCTAAGGATGGGGACTTGATAACAGTTTATCGTAACTGATGCTGGGTGAGTTCAGGCCCTAGATGGTGCTGGGAAGAGGGACATCAAGCACATGGCCTGAGCAGGCTGAGGAGCAACTGCCAGCTGGTTAGGCCCAGGCCCTCTCTGGATCCACATAACAGAGACCCAGTAAGATGCCAAGGTAGGAAGTGGTCCAGTGGGGCTGGCCAAGGATGGGAGCAAAACCCACCAGGGGCCTGGTTAGTGCACAAGTTCTCTCCTCTTCCTGACAGCCCTGGGCACCAAGGAAACAATTTCCTACCAAGAATCCTGTCACTCTCCCATGTAGGGCTGATCAGCACCTATGTGGCCCCTGCTGATCTCCCAGGCACTTTCAGTGAGAAGGGTGCTGGCCAGGGCACATCTGGGAGTCACCCTTGAACCCCTGGCACCCACAGGGCATGCCCCAGTGTGTGTCAGGCAGAGGGGCGTGGGCCCCACCTCCCCTACACAGCTGGCAGCCTCTTGGGCACACCAGTGAGTAAGCTGCAGGAGGGAGGGAGGCTGTGGGCCCACAGAGGCAGGATGACACCGAACAGGAGCCTTCAGGAGAAGAGGCTGGGCAAGAAAAGCACTGAGGTTTTCTTTTTCTTTTCCATTTTTTTTTTTTTCTCTTCTGCCTGAAGGGAGCGCCGCTTCCTGGGCTCCAGACAAGTGTCAGCCTGCAGTGGGAGAGAGTGAGGCCCAGCTGCCTGAAGGAGCGGCCAAGGTAAGGTTCCTGCTGCTGCTATAGGCTGTGCTTCCAGGACTGGGGACGGGGATTGAGGCATTGAGGCTACCCCCACCTAGGACAGGAAGGCTGATTCCATGTTCCTGAAAAAGCTATGGGTCCTTGGGCTAAGGAGTCCCATGCTCTGTCCAACCTGCCACCCTTCTCTAGGTGGATTTTGAAACAGCCCAATCCACACTGGCCTCTAGCCCCCTTACCAGGAGAGAGGTTTGTTTCTACAGTGCCTGTATTTACTTCCTGCGTGGGCTAGGCCAAGCCAGTGCTACCAGGATGCCCCTACAGGAGGCCCCACTCATCTCACCCCTCATGTATTCATTCCACAAATATTTATGGAGCGTCCGTCCACAGGGTCCCAGGCTCTGAGTCATGCTCTTTCACTGAGCTTGACCTGGTACAGATTCTGACTCTGAAACTCAGTGTCAGGCCAGGGTCAGGGGGCCAACTGGCTGAGTGCACTCCCTCCTCACAGGCCTCAGGCTCCTTACCTCTCCTGCAGGCTTACTGGCCACATGGGCTTCAGGGACATCAGGCTCAGTGAACTGGGGATTATAAAGTATGGGTTCCCCAAAGCTGCATGGCTAATGCAGTGCAGTCTCCCATTTGCTCTTTCCCTGGCATTACATGAGAAGGTCAGAGGTTCCTACATTTCTGCTTAGGGTCTTCCCTGAGCTGGTTCTGATGGGAAATGGGGTCGAGGAGTAGAGGACCAATTCAAAGCTCAGTGGTCCCTAGGCCTGTGGGCCTGGGAGCTAACCTAGGGGGCACTGGGGCTTGTGGGCCAAGCAAGGAGCCTCTCTAGGCAGGTTTCCCTGCAATGGTCCTGGTACTCGGCTCTGGGAATTTTAGTGACAAGAGCACCAGGAAAGTTTTGGCACCAGGAGCAGGCCTTTCTGGAAACACTGATTTGCGTGGAAGCTTCATCCCTGAGAAGGGTAGCAGGGTCGGAGTGTGGGGACTGCATGGTCAGTCTAGTCCTCAAGAACAGATTGATTCTTTGGGTTCTCTGAGCTCTTTGAGACAGGACAGGCACAGGGTAGGTACCAACTAATGGGGTCTCCACCCAGGGCAAAGCCCACTCTGTATTATTCACCCCTGAGGATAACCACCAATGTCTCCTGTCCTGGAAGAATACATAGGACAAGGTCAGAAGGAGCCCATAAGTATTTCCTACACCTGGCTCCAGGATGAGGAAAATGACCCAGCTGTGGCAGTATTTCCTTCTTCCTCTCAAAAGGTGATTCTAGCCAGGTACTGTGGTGCCTGCCTATAATCCCAGCAGCTTGGAAGGCTGAGGCAGGAGGATCATAAGTTCAAAGCCAGCCTCAGCAATAGCAAGGTGCTAAGCAACTCAGTGAGACCCTGTCTCTAAATAATATACAAAATAGGGCTGGGGATGTGGCTCAGTGGTTGAGTACCCTTGAGTTCAATCTCCAATACCAAAAAAAAAAAAAAAAAAAGTGACTGTAAACTTGGGAGGCCTCCAGGTACATGGAACTGCACAGTGGTGGTATCCAGCTGGTGGGCACAATGGCAGAGGCTCGGAAGCAGCAGGCAAACAACAAACCAGCAGGGTATTAGCTGGTGGTCTAGGAAGGAGTGGAAGGCTCTGGCCTGCTCTGTGGAAACCCCACTCAGTTCAGGGTAGCAGCCTATCCTAGAGGTCCTGGAGGGCTGTGCCTTGTGAGGACACACCCTCTACCCCCATGGGAGCTCAGTCCTAGGGCCCAAAGGGAGCTAAATTGAGAAGTGGGAGATATGAGGTAAAGGGAATCTTATCTTTCCTGGGTTTTAGTCTGTTGTGCTGCTACAACAACATGTGAGACTGGGTAATTTATATGCAGTAGAACTTTATTTGGGTCATAGTTCTGGAGACTAGAAAATCTAAGATTGAGACGCTCACATCTGGCAAGGGCCTCATGCTGTATCATCCCATGGCAGAAAGTGGAAGGGCAAGAGAGGGAAGGGAGCAAGAGAGGGCCTAATTCCCCAGGTATGGTGGCCCACGCCTGTAATCCCAGCAACTCCAGAGGCCGAGGCAGGAAAATCAAAGTTCAAGGCCAGCCTCAGCACTGAGTGAGGCCCTAAGCAACTGAGCCAGACTCTGTTTCAAAATAAAAATAAAAAGGAGCTGAGGTGTAGCTCAGTGGTTAAGTACCCCTGGGTTCAATCCCCAGTAACCCCGCCCCCAAATAAGAGAGAGGGGCCTAACTCAATTTTGTAATAAACTTTTATGTAAAGACATTAATTCATTTGTGAGGGCAGAGCCCTCAAGACCCAAATACTTCTTGAAGGTCTCACCTCTTTAACCCTGTTGCATTGGGGATTAATTTTCCAACACATGAACTTTGGGGGACACATTCAGACCACAATACTTGTCAAGATGTGGGATCCAGTCAGTGCTTTTTCTGGATACCTGACTTCCAGGCCCATGATAGGGATTGTGTGTTTATTAAGTACAAAATACTGGTGGCCAGAGGGGTGGTGGGGAAAAGTGCTGATAGATAAATGGGACAGAACCCTTGCCCAGGGGACACTTATAATCCTTTGATAGAGTAATGTAAAGGAAAGCTGAGCATGGGGTCAACCCCACCAAAAACAAGCTGAACCACAGAGCCACAATTAGCAACTGGGTGGCTTTGTCCTTCCGCCCACTCTGGGCCCCAGACTCATCACTGAAATTGTCAGCCATGACTCATCCAGTCCAGATAATTTATAAAATTAAACCAATACTAGAAGATGATTCTTAACATAGACTTTATACAGATGGACCAAAGGGGGAAAAAAAAAGAATGAAAAACACTTATGGAAAAAGCTTCAATCTACAGGTCCTAGCGGAAAATGAGTGCTCATGTAGTAAGACACAGTAGTAGGGCCCAAAGGGAGCTAAATTGAGAAGTGGGAGATATGAGGTAAAGGGAATCTTATCTTTCCTGGGTTTTAGTCTGTTGTGCTAAACAGGATGATGGGGTTAACAGTGTAGTCAGCAGGATGAGCATCAGGCCTGGCATTGCTTCTTCCTGGTGACTTGGATAAGTTACTTCATGTCTCTAGGTCTTGATTTCCTGACATGTTCAACAAACATAATTATAATACCTATGTGATATGGTTGTTGAAACAGCATTAAGTAAAACAATATGGGTGCTGCTAAGATTACTGAAGGAGCAAGGTGCCATGAGGAAGAGACCTTGTTTAAGAGAATCAGGAAAGGCTTCCTGGAGGAGGTGGCTGTAGAAGAACCCTTCCCTCAAGAAAAGCGAAGCTCTCAGAATGCTGGTAGATCTATGCCCATCCAAGCTAGGAAGAACTGCAATACCAGGTCCATTTTTCTCCCAGTAGCAAACTGTTTACCCACTGAGTTTCTCTCAGGAATTAATTTAAAGAATTAATTCTTTTTCTAGTATTAGGGAATGAACCCAGGCTCACTCTATCACTCATCACATCCTCAGTTTCCCCATCTTTTTTTTTTGAGATGGGGGTTCTAAGTTGCTCAAGCTGGCCTCAAACTTGGAATCCTCCTGCCTCAGCCTCCTGAGTAGCTGGGATTATAGACATGTGCCACTGTGCCTGGCTACTTAAGACTATTAGACCCCCTTATGGGGGTCTGGAGTTCAAAATGTGGGTACTTGGACTGGACTGCACATAGTAATCAAGAGGCTGGGTATGGCCCTGGTCCCATTCCTGTTTGAACCTGGACTCTTTTGTCACATGGTGTCCACAATTCCTTGAATAACCATATTCTATTGACCCCCATATAAAGCACAAAACTTGGAGGTGCTGCATGTGGAGGGACTGGAGTTGGAGACCACTGAGAGCTCCTTGACTACTGTGGCAAGTGACTTGGAAATGCCTGGTTATCATAAGGCTCAGTCTCAGACTTTCTTTGCTTTTATTACCAAAAGTTTATCTGTCCTATGAATTTAGGAAAAGCAATCCCTCAGTCTAGTCACCCCCCCCAAAAAAAAAAAAATAAAGTGAAACCCAAAACATAACAGGCTTTCAAATTCTGAGCGAAATCGTGTTTTGAAAAAAAAAAAAAAGTACCCTTATAACTACATAAGAGGTCACATGGGCCTCATTCCTACAAAGGAACACCCATGCTGGCCAGCATTTTCTATAAAACCTCATCATGACACATCAGGCAGTGCAGAGACCCAAGTATTTACAGAGGAACAATGATGACTACTTTTGCACACCTGTGGGTTCTCTGTGGTAACCTATTCTGCCAAAGTGGTGCCTTGATCAGCAAATCCAGGCGTCTCTGCCCTGGTCATAATCTACTTGTGCTCTGGTTTGCCCACAGCTTCTGTCCACTCAGGTGGAAGCAGACTTTTGTCCTTCATACATACTTAGGCTGCCCAGGACCTGAGGAGGCCCCTCTGGGTGCTCAGAGAAGCAGGTGTAGAAAGTGCAGGTAGGTGGTACATTTGTTCTGGCCTCTGATCTCAGTGCAGCAGGACCCAGCTCACTCTCCCCAGGGCAAATAGCAACAAACCAGTCACCTTGGTCAAGGTCTCCTGTTGCCTGCCTGCCTGCCTGCCTGGTGAAGGGGCTCCTGAAGATTATGGCAGCAGTAGAGTTAAAACCGGGTAGACTGGTTCTGTGGTTCAGCTCCCTAGCCTGGAGCATCTCCAGCTCCATTTTCTTTCTTTCAGTTTCAAATAAGGCTCCATATGGAATTATGCAGAGGAAGGCACAGGAGTAGAGGGAGTTAGGGGACCAGTTACACCAGAGTCTCCTTGTATGGCCCAGCACAGTACCAGGTCAGCAGGGAGGAGCTCAGAGGAGGAAAGGCTACCATAAGGGAACTGGTCATCTCAGATTGCTTGCTACAGCACATTCAAGCCACAGGGAGTCCTCTGAGAATGTCTAGTCCAAACCCCATCATTTTTTACAGAGGGAAACAGGCCCAGAGAAGAAAAGTAAGTACTGAGATGACACTGCTAACTTGTCGGGGCTGGGGGTGGTTCAGGACCAGGGGTTCCAATTTGTGCCCAGTTTTCTTCTACTGCCCAGGCTGCCTGTCCATCAACAGGGCCCCCATACAGGAGCAGGTAAGAACTGCTAGGTAGCTTGATGGCTTGAGAGCAGTGGCCCCATCCCTTTTCTATGCTTCCTGCCTCTGCTCTCCCGTCCTATACCCTGTTTAATATAGAGTCCCAGCCCAGCCCATGCTTGTTAACCAAGGGCTCCCCAAGGACAGAATTGTCCCCCAGTACTGGGTCACTTTCTGATAAACAGATCTAACTAATTTGTAAATAAATCAACTCAAGTTCTGTGTCCTGGGTAGCATCTTACATTTTAACCATAGACTGGTAATGCCTTAAACCCAAGAAGAGAATAATAACAGTGTCTAGACATGAGAGAGTCTGGGCAGAGGGTGGGGAGGCACACAAGAGGTCCTCTGCCTCAGGTGGTCTTCTCACTGGTATTTACTTTTAACCCCAGGCAATAATTTAAATGTGCAATAGATAACATCAGATGTCAGTTCCCAAATGTAGGAGGGCAGTTACCTCTCACTCTGAAACCAGGGTCAGGTGAGACAAGAAGACTTTTATATTCCACTGGAGTGGATCTTGCTGGAGGAAGCTGTCTGGGATCCAGAAAGGTGGGAAGATGTGGAAGTCTCAGTCCTAGGGAAGGTTGGAACCAGGCCTAGGAGCAGGAGCAGATGTTCAGGGCTCCTATGGAGGAAAAGGGCAGAGTGGCAGGGAGGAGCTGCCCCCAGATATCCACCAACCCTACATTGGTTATTGTACTAGTGACTGGTGAGGGTGTGACAGTGGTGTGACCATGACCTGCCTTGTCAGCTTTCACAGGAATGTCCCAACAGGCCAGCCACCTCTGTCACAGTCTAGGGCTCTTTAAGATGTGTGCAACAGAGCTGGGGAAGGAAAGACCCAGAAAGGGGATGGCAGCCTAGCACAGACTAAGTGGCAGACAGGCCATGCCTTCTAACACTGATCCAGGGCAGATGCAGTGTTCCCTGAAGGCCACAGAGCCCACAGCTGCAGCTTGTGTGCATTTATAGCTAAGGTGTTCTGCCCATTGGGTTGGAGATGGGGCTTGCACAGCCAAAATCATGCTTCCTTGGGCTCTCTCCTCCCCTGGAACTTGGGTCTTGGCTCAGGCACAGGTTTTCTGCTCCCCCAATACTCTCCTGTCCTCCCTGAAAGTCAGGCCCTGGGCTCAATGGCACTGCCCTGCCCCAGCCTCAGTTCTGGAATGGCTACTGGAGGCTCAGGAGAGAAGAGGACAATGAAGAGTTTCCTTTTAAGGAGGCTTCCAGTGTTATGCCAGTGGGAATAAATGGGATTACCCCCTGCCAGCAATAATGCCAGCCAGAGAGCTAAAATGCCAGCAAAAGACATTTGGATAGAACTTTGGAAGCTGTTAAGAGCAGGAGGCTGAGGCTGGGGCTGGGGATGTGGCTCAAGCGGTAGCAAGCTCGCCTGGCATGCGTGCGGCCCAGGTTCGATCCTCAGCACCACATACAAACAAAGATGTTGTGTCCGCCAATAACTAAAAGAAATAAATATTTAAAAAAAATTAAAAAAAAAAAAGAGCAGGAGGCTGCAGAGTAGTTGTAGTTTTTTAAATTTTTTTTTTTTTAGTTGTAAATGAACACAATACCTTTATTTTATTTGTTTTTATTTTTATGTGGTGCAAGGGATAGAACCCAGTGCTTCACATATGCTAGGCAAGCACTCTACCACTGAGCCACAACCTGGCTCTGTGAGAAGATATTAAATGATTTCATCATGTCTACAAAATGACTGTCCTCAGTGCAGAGGTGGCTCTTTTTGTTCCCCAAACCTTCCCAGTACAGCTCAGCATGTACCTCAAGTATCTGTGAAGGGTGACATAGCCTGCAGTGATCCCTACATCTGAGCAGCTCATCCCAAGTTACCAGGTCTCTTTGGGACTATCAGGCAAGCTTGGCCCTCGATACCAGTTTGTGTTTCAGGGGGTAGTCCCATTTATTCTCACTGGCATGAAGAGCCTAGTACAGTTCAGAACTTAAGAGGCAGGCAGAGAGAGGCTTGAGGTTCTGGGAATAGTAGTTTCTCTCTGTCGTGGTTCAGGGTATGAGCAGGACACATCCATCCAGCAGCCAGGCAGGAACCCATGGATTTTTCCCAAACACCTAGCTGGGCCCTAGACAGGGCCGGGGTTCTCTCTCTGGGATCCAAAGTGGATTGACCTGTTGGGTTGGTTTAGCAAGTGGTAGCCTTGTCTTTTGGAAGAATCCTGGGATTTTGCTCTGTGGTATACCAAACTGAGTTTGATTGCTCCCTGTGGCAGGTGTGTGTATGTGTTTATTCATGCATGTGCACAGGTGGAGGAGAGGAGTTTTCTTCTTGACTCTTCAGCAGCTATGCTTACCTTGTTTGGAGCCAAACAAGGTAATATTTATTTCTTTTAGTTATTGGCGGACACAACATCTTTGTTTGTATGTGGTGCTGAGGATCGAACCTGGGCTGCACGCATGCCAGGCGAGCTTGCTACCGCTTGAGCCACATCCCTGTACCCTAATGCTCTAGACTTCATCACTCCACCACCTTCCCAAGGGAGGAGATGCTCTTTCCAGTTATGCATGACAAGAAATTGAGGCTAACGGCATGCTATAAGTCTACAGAGACAAATGGGCTACAGTCTCGATACTACCTCCCTCCTGCCTAAGGGCTCCTTGGGCCTGGCAGTTGCATATATTTATGTGGTTCTATCCCTGGCACCACATAAAAATAAAAACAAATAAAATAAAGGTATTGTGTATATGTATATATATTTAGTTGTAGTTGGACACAATACCTTTATTTATTTTTATGTGGTGCTGAGGATTGAACCTTGCATGTGCTAGGCAAGATTCAAATTCAATACTTAGATTCAAATTCTAGCTTAGTCCATTTGGGCTGCTGTAAACAGAATACCATAGACTGGTGACTTATAAACAACAGAAATTTGTTTCTTACAGTTCTGGAAGCTGGAAAGTCCATGATCAAGATGCTGGCAGGTTTGTTATCTGGTGAAGGTCCACTTCCTGATTCATAAATGGCTCTTTTCACTATAACCTCACATAGCTGAAGGAGCCAGGGACCTTTCCAGGGCCACTTTCATAAGGACACTAACCCCATTTATGATGAGGGTTCTGCCTTCAGAACTAATTACTCCCAAAGGCCCTACCTCCTAATACCCTTACATTGGTGATTAAATTTCAACATAGGAATTTGGGAGGTACACAAACATTCTGTATATAGCAATAATTATGAGATCTTAAGATAGTTCCTTAACCACTCTGTGCCTCAGTTTCCTCATCTGTAAAACAAGAATAACAATAGTATAATGCTTATATCCAAGGATCCCTGTGAAGATTGAGATAATATGTGCGGTTTAGCACAGGGCAGGGTCCATCAGACCCATCAGAAGTGTTCAGTAATTGGCAGGCATTACTGTTACTATTATCAAAGGACAGCAGAGGCATCCAGAGGAAGGAGCCCTGTAAGACATAAGAGAGCTTGTTAGCAGGTTCCTGATCCCCAGGAAGCTTTTCAAGTCATGAGCAGAAAGGTGCAGAGAAAGGATAATGTGTTTGTATTTCTAAACCACAAGTTGATCCATATCTTTCCTCTTTGGCCCTAACTTGGGCTCTCAGCCCTGGCTGCTAGTGCTCAGATGTTATAACAGTTCTGACAACCACAGTCTGAGAGAACACTGGGAAGTGGCTGCCCTACCCTGGGCCTGCCCAGAAGCCCTTGCAGACCATGCTGGCCAGCCAATGCCCCAGAGCAGGCAAGGCTCCAAAAGCCCCATCTACGGTGAAATGTCTGTTTTTGGTGCCTGCGTCCAGGGCTCCAGGCCAGTGTGTAGAATGGCAGTGCCTGGAAAACTCCCTCAGCCAGCAGCCAAGGTTCTTCAGAGGGGCATGGGCCTGCCCCATCCCTTTGCTCAGCATGGAAGGGGGCCAGAGAGAGGCATGGGAACACAGGAGGAAGTGTTGTCCCCCAAACTGCTCCTGACACTTACCACACTTCTGCTCTCTTCCTGAACAGAGCTGAGCTGCATATGGATCAGAGAAGAGAGAAGAGAGTCACACATAGGAATTAATCACTCAGGACCCACCCTGTATGTCCTAGTCATCCCAATATGTAGGGCAATATCCAACCTCGTGCACCTGAACCACATGTAGAAGGGACTGGAAGTTCAGAAATGTGGTACTATGGTGGCCCAAGAGTTCTCTAGTCTACTCTCATATCTCGTATGGGAATTTTTTTCTCTGGCACATCTGGCATATTAATCTGGGTCAGTCTCCTTCAGGACTCTGTACCTCTCTAAATAAATACCCAAGCCCAACTGTTTTCTCCCAAGGTGGGAAGAATCTAGGGGTTCTGGGATTTACTCTATGTAAGGTGAAGGACTTATCTAGTAGTTATTCTGGGATACCCAATCCTGGATTCAAATAAATTAAATACCAGTTCATTTTTAATAATATTCACACTTACTGTAGTTTTAATAGTTCAAAGGTAGTGCTTGGAACTGTGGTTTTGGTACATAGGCATCTATATTAAAAAAAAAAGTTCACATGTACATTTGTGAGTCACTATAAAGTAATTTAGGGTGTTGATTCTAAATTCAATCACATAATGCATTTCATTCTAACTTTGGTTTGTGGTTCATTTTGAATTCTTAGCAACTAATCTCTACTTCCTCCCTCTATACAGCACATCCAAATTCTTGAAGTCAGTATTAGACCACCACATCCATGTTCCTGGATAACTAATATGTGGGGAAAGCCATACTTGTACCACCTGCCCTGTCCTCCTTGCATGGACCTTAACTACTGAGTTAAGGTCCCATCCTTAACTCAGTAGTCAGCTTCCTGGGCAGCCACCAGAGGTCATGGTTTGTCTAACAGAATCAGCCAACAGTGTCCAGTCAGAGGAAAGAAAAAGAATACACCTTGCCGGCTGGAGTTGTGGCTCAATAGCAGTGTGTTTGCTTAGCTTGTGTGAGGCACTGGATTTCATTCTTAGCACTGCAAATAGATACATAAAATAAAGGTCCATTGACAACTTAAAAAAGAAAGAAAAAGAATCCACCTGGAAAAGACACAGAGGAGAGGAGAAGGAGATACAGTAAGGAAAGAAGAATGGAAATTAAATGTCCATCTCTGTGTTGGGGTGCCCTCCTTAGAACACAGGACCAGGAAATGTTACCTGGCACAAAGCCTTCCCTAGGGAAGCTGAGGGCATCAGAGCTTCTGGTGTAGAAAGATATGGAGTACAGACTGGTTAGTGACTGGTGAATTCCCATGGATAACCTTCTATTTGGTGGAAGTCTTAAACTATGCATAGCAATAGGGCCCACAATGTAATGATTTATCCACAAATAGCATTGTCCTAGTCAAAGAATCAGTGAACAAAACTATGTGGGAATAGTGACCTCAATAATTTAAATCTGAGGTAACCAATAAGGGCTTAAAAATAAAATCACTGGGCACATTGGTGCCTGTAATCCCAGAAACTCAGAAGGCTGAAGCAGGAGAATCCCAAATTCAAGGTCAGCCAAGCAACTTACAGAGGTGGTAGGCAACTTAGTGTGACCCTGTCTCAAAATCCTGACTCAAAACAAAAAGGGACTGGGGATGTAGCTCAGTGGTTAAGCACCCCAAGATTCAATCCTAACTACAAAAAAAAAATCCCCACACTGACACTGGCAGTTACCCAGCCACCACTTGAAGGCAGCCATTTGGGGTCCAGATGTACTGAATTTCCAAGCCAGAATCCCCTCAGCACTCAGCCAGCAGCCCTCTCTAGGGGCCCAAGTCGAGGACAATAAGAGTCTTCTCACTTCCTTGTTGGATTAGACACAGACAAGTGGTCCCAGCCCCTTTGCTCAACATAAAATCTATCCTCTGTCCCAAAGAAGCAGGGTAACCTGTCCCAACCTACCCCAAATGGGAAGTCAGGAATGAGTCACTGGAAATGCCATCCTGAACTTAAACCAGGGCATTGCTGGGTACAAGGAGGGGATGCTGGCTCTGGAACAGAAACGGAGAGGTTTTGTATGAACCCCTTCCTCTGTTTCAGGATTCTGTGCTCCTATGATGCTTTCAGTCCCCCAAAGTATCCCACCCTGGAATCCAGAGGCCAGAGCATTGTCAGGACTAAACAAGGTGTGATGGGGAATTGCATCCCTTTAAATCCTGCCCTTCTGCCTGTACAAGGCGGTTATCCCAGAACAATTCAGAATGGGGCAGACAGGCCAAGGTGCCAGGTTTTAGGATTGCAGCTTGGGCTCTCCAGGATGTGTGGGTGGCACCCACGGCACCTCTTAGGTCCCAAAGAGTGGGCCTGCGGCTCCACAGCGTGCATCTGCAAGATAAATTAATGAGTTAATTACCAGCCGGTGCTCAGCGGATAATCCAGGTCGGGTCTTTGCGTGGCGGGCAGACAGCTATGGGAGCGGCCGTGTCAGGGTCGGTGGGAGCTGGAGCCAAGAGGTTGGAGAGAAAGCACTGGGCAAGGGTCGTCCCTTCGGCAGCGGGGCTCCTTGCCTTGCTGCCCCTGCACCCCTGCGCGATTTTTCCCTTGTTCTGCGTTCGCTATGTCCTACCTGAGGCCACACCCTGAAATCAAACTCGCGGCCAGGTGAAGCCGGCGCTGCACAAACATGTAAGCGCGGCCCCTCCTCGCAGTTCCCCGCGCCGAGGTCCCTCCCGCAGAGGGCGGGCCCGGTTCCCGCGGCCTCTCAGAGCGCTCGCGGGCTTCTCGCTTGGCAGGTGGGTGCTTGGCCGCTGCCAAAGGCCGGTGATCTCCCTCCCGGCCCGGGCCGCGGTGAAGGGACAGGCCTTGCCTCAAGCGTCCTCCCTTACCCCGGCTTTCAGTCCCCGAAGTTCGAGGCTGGCCCGCGCGGGACAGAGGGGCCTTACGCGCGGGCACAGCGGGCTCGGCGCCCTCGGCGCCCCCGGCGCCCCCGGAGCGCAACCTATTCTGCGTGCGCGCCAACTCGGCGCAGCGAGGCCGTGGCCGCGCGGGGTCCGACAGCCGTGTGGAGAGGGGCCACCCCGGAAGCTGCGCTACGCCCACCTGCCCCTCCTCCCGGAGCCCCGCTGGGAGCCGGCCGCAGCCTCTAGCACCTCAGATCGCTCAGGGGGAGGCAGGCGTGGGGCAGTTCGCAACGTCCTAGACTCCAGCCAGTCGCAAAATCTGGGGGACACTTACTATATTTGTCACAATGTTATTTCTTATGTGTTTCTGTTTAGGCCTGCGGTGGACTGGCCCTGGAAGGTCCTTGGTCTTCCCTCGGTGCCCAAGAGAGCTGACTGCTGAAGGGTGAGGAGACCCGAGGAAGAGGAGTCAGGGAAGGCCTCCCGGAGGTGAGTGAGGAACATGTAGTCCTAGAGCCTTCTCCATACCTTCCTGAGAGGCAGGCTGGGAGGAACAGTGGTCAGGCAACTGACTCCCTCCTAGTTAGGCAGCGGCTTAGTCCCTGCTAGTTGTGATTTCTCAGTCCTTAGTGGTTGCATATAGTTACTCATACCACCTTAGCCCCATGATAGGTCATGAGGGCTTCAAATGGCTGTCCCTGTCCCTGGCGCAAGCTTCGGATTTTCATCAGGTCTGATGCCTGTCTGGGGTGAGGCAGCGTCAGCCAGGCCAGTTGCATTGAACGCAGGCTTGCAGAAGAGGATTCCAAACAGAAAGTGCGGTAGCAGACCAGGCATCTGTGCTGAGCAGGGCAGGAGGTGGGGACTTCAGGAGTCCCAGGCAGAGATGCCCCTGCTCTGTACATTCGAGTCTGCCTGCTGGTTCCCCAGATCCCCAGACATGCTAAAATTGCCCCAGCTCTTCCCATAGCCAGGGAGTAACTTTCCATATAGGGTGTGGATGCTGTTAGGAACACCAAGGGCTAAGACATGAGAATTCCCAAGATTTTGGTGGAGTATTCTCTGAATCCGCCCCCCAAACCCCCATCTGGTGTTTGTTAGGCTCCTTTGGTTTGTTTTACTAGGTGGTGGGCAGGGTGGGTCCAGTCTATGTGGTCATTTTTGTGTCTGGTTTAGTATGTATTGCAATGCTGTGAATTCTCCTCTTGTGTTCTCAGTGACTGAGAACACAACATTTTTAACCAAAAAGAGCTGAGTTTGAATCCTAACTGCCTGTGACTCCTTTGGCACATTGTTTTATTTCTTTCCAAATTTTTTAATGTCCTCAACTGTAAAATGAGGATGGATTGCCATTCTCATAGGGTAGTTGTGAGGAGTAACTGTAATGATAAATGTCCTTCAGCCCCAGAGGCCACCTCACTGGCCTCCAGTTGGAAAAGTTTAAACTACCCTTGAGTCCTCCTCTCTGGGAAGACTTTGAGAATGGTCTGGCTATTTGGCAAGACACTGTTGGAGGGTGTTAGAACAAAGCAGTAGGAATAAAGTAAGGGCAGAGGGTTCATGGAAGATGAATAGTGCGTAAGACCCTAATTCAGGGTCTTTGGCCCAAGGAAGGGGCCGTTTCTGGCTTTAGTGGCAGAAGTAGCAACACCCTCAGTACATGTCACATGTGTTCACATGTTCATGGGTGACCCTGACTATACCATTATCATGGGTGCTGTCTGGGGCAGAGGGAGCATTCAGCTCAAGGATTCTGGTTTCATCTCCGCTCTAAATAGCTGTGTGATCTAAGATAAATCATTTGCTTTCTCTGGGCTCTGGGTATGGTGAATGAGCTTGGAGTCAGACTTTGCATTCCAGTTCTACACTGACCATCTTAGACATTTGCTTTTCTCTGAGCCTTGGTTTCTTCATTTAACAATGGAACCTGTAATATCTACCATTAACCATTAGATGTACTAATAAGAAGCACCTAGCACAGTACCTGGTATGTGGCAGGCACTTTCTGTGTGTATATTCTTTTTCTTGTCACCTGCTTCCTCTTCCTAGCCACCTTCCGTCTTTAAAATGGGCCCAAGAAATCAGGTTCAAACTATTTCACAGTGGTTTTATGTACATAAAGTGAGGAGGCAAGCAAAATATAGATATGGAAAGCTAAGGGCTGTCAAAACATAAGGGAGTCTTGCAGTTAGGAACCATGGAGATTCTTTCTGGCAAGATATTAAGGTCTTGAGTCTCTGCATGTGAAGACTGTTGAAATCTGAGAGGCTAAGGAGGTCCCTAACCTGAAACCCTTCAAGGAATGTAATTCTTCAGGTCTTCCTTTGGAGACAACCCCATGCCCAGAAAGCCCAATGCTATACACCCAGAGATGGGTGGGCACAGGTTGGGATTCAAGGCACAGTAAACAGAAGTCAAAGGGCTGGACTGGCCTGAGCCCCTGCTGGACTGTAGCAATGTCCAAGTGGCTAGAGCTGGGCTGAGAGGCAGTTTGAGTCAATATTGACCTTCCTCGGCTGGCCAGCCTGACTCTTTGGCCTGTCATTCAGCTGGAGTGTTGACACAAGCCACTGAATGAGCTTCATCATTGTATTTTTACAATTTTAAACAACACCCCATTATCTCTTCCCTGGTGATTCACTGGGTCCTCTGGTATGGGAATTGTGGTAAGGATAGGGAACCCAGAAATTTTGGCTGATTGTTTGCACAGTGCCCACCATCCTGGCACAGGCCTCATTCTTCCTGGGTCACTTGAGTGGGGCAACAGAACCTCTGGGTACTACCCAGTCTGCTGGGGACTTCCAATACTTCAGCACACTGGCCCTGGGAGAAAGTCTACAAAGTCTATGGGTGATGGGGCAGAGGGCATGGCCCCACCTAAGATCTCCTATCCTGCATGTGGCAATCAGGCAGAAAAGCAGATGAAATTTCCTTCCCTGTGGTGTATTTTTTTGGAGCCAGGATAAGGTCTGGGGTGCTGTCCTTCTTGCCTCTCATGTCACATGAAGAGGAGCAGATGGCAGACCTATACCTGGGGGAGACTGAGGAGAGACAGAATCCAGCTCCACACAAAGGAAAAGCAGCGAGGGGACCAAGGGAACAGAAGGCAGGGGCCTTGGGAAGGGGCAGGAGCTCTCTACTGATAAACATATGCAAGCAGAATATGGGCAGGCTCCTATTGGGAATTGCCACAGAGGGACATAATTTAGGCAAGGTCAGAGGGGCCCATCTGAGGAACCCCATGGAGTTTGTATTACCACTTCTTAAGGTGGCACAGGCTGGCCTATAGCAACATCTATTTGGAAGATGCAAACTAACCTGCCGAGAGATAGAGCAAGGATATTGTCTTGTTTGCCCCCAGAGTCTAGAGTAGAGCAGGTACATAATAAATACTTTTTTAAAAAAGTACTGAGGATTGAACCCAGGTCCTCATATATGCTAAGCAAGTGCCCTACCATTGAGTTACATTCCCTAACCCTTTTTTTTGTTTTGAGTCTGGCCTTGAACTTGTGATGCTCCTGCCTGAGACTAGCTGGAATTATAGGTATGCACCACTGTGCCCAGCCATAATAAATACTTTTGAGTAAAGGAATTAATAATGAATAAATATAAATATATATATACATATATATATTTTTTTTTTTTGTCAATGGATCTTTTTTTTTTTTTTTTGAGAGAGAGAGAGAGAGAGAGAATTTTTTTTGATATTTATTTTTTAGTTTTCGGCAGACACATCTTTATCTTTATTCAAACCCAGCGCCCTGTGCATGCTAGGCGAGCACGCTACTGCTTGAGCCACATCCCCAGCCCCATCAATGGATCTTTTTACTTTATTTATTTATATGTGGTGCTGAGGATTGAACCCAGGGCCTCACACATGCCAAGCAGGTGATCTACCACTGAGCCACAACTCCAGCCCAATAATGAAATTTTATATTTAAACAAATTCCAGAAAGTAAAGGTTGAGGAAAAGGAAAATATCCCTGGTTAATGAGTTTATTCCTATGAAAGGCTATCTTTTATTCAAGGAAATTCTCAACCAGGCAGCTGATGAGGCCCATCCCTCCTCATAGGAGGGAGAATGACAATTCCCAAGACAGGTAAAAGAGGTCAAGCAACCCTACTTTATATCTCAGGGTGAAGAGACCCAGCTCTGGAAGAGGCAGATTCCTCTGTAGGCCACTCTGGGACTGGATGGTTGTAGTAACATGGAAATTTTTATAAGTTCTGTCGAGGCCAGGGGGGCTTACCTCTGTCTTGGTGCTATGATTCTAGGATAGGCGCTAGAGTATCACCCTGAGAATGACACAGGGTGGAAGTAGTGAATGCTGATGGCGGACTGTGGCCAAGTTCATCTCAGGGTCTGGATCAGACTCTGTCCCTTCCTTGCTGCTGCACTTGGGTAAATCACTCAGTCTGTATGGCCCACAGGTTCCTCTCATGTGTAACAGATATAGTAACAATGCTTCCTCGTGGGTTTGTGATCAGGAGAGCACATATGACACTCTCAGTCCAGAGCCTGAGTCTTTTGCTAGGCTCTCATAGAGAGGTGATTATTAAAAATATCCAGAACTGCTCCTTGAGCAAGAAGCTATTGCTCCCCTTCATTATGCCTGGAAAAGCTGGCAGAGGTGAATGAGTCCATTCTCTTGTCATTAATGGAAATGCTGAGGCCTAGAGAAGAAGGAAAATAGACCAAGGTCATAGCCCCAAGGTCCCACACTAAGCCTCATAGCCCAGAATGTGAGCTCTGATAAACTTCCCTGAGCCTCCCCCACTCTCACTGGTATCTTGAGCTGGGTGTTCTCTCCTCTTCTGGGAGCCAGGAACCAGCCCTGTTGGCAGATGCCTCTTCTCCTCTTAGTTGCTGGGAATTGGTGGGGAATCCCATCAGCCTCATTCATAGCAGACACTTTACCAACATCCCAGACCTTACACAAAAGACCAAAGCCTACCCCTTCAAAGGAGCTACAAATCCATCTAGACTTATTTTCTGGAAGACACCTTCCCAGCCCTTTTTTTGGGCGTGGGGGCAGTGGTTACTAGGGATTGAACCCAGGGGCACTTTACCACGAGCTACATCTCTAGCCATTTTTTGTTTTTTATTTTGAAACAGGGTCTCACTAAGTTGC